ACTCAAATTTTGTGTAGTTCAAGCTACAAAAATATTTTTTTGTCATGCATCCGATTTCACCTTGAGAGATGCACACGCCTGATGAAGCTAATTTGTTTAGCGAAATATTGCGTATTTCTATTGAAAATCTAATAGAACTTTTTAATGTATTGATTAGCGTGTTTAAGTTATATTCTTAGACATTTATATATATATATATCAAATCTTAATTTTGGTTGATATTGAAGTGTTTGAACCAGAACACCGTTAACATTTGCAGAATGTCTTTCCCTATTTGATGAATTTGCAAGCACTGAAATACTCTTTCGGTATTCCTTACAAACTGATGAATTTCTGAATTTCGAAAGCTACCGATTTATAAATGCACATGGAACGTAATATTTATAACGAAATATGTTTGAAATTCCGGTACTGGTTTGACTTGGTACCAAATTGAAAAAAGCTTGAGAAGCTTATAAAAATTCGAAATCATATCTTCTACTTTTTCGGTGTGTCCTTTGATATATTCTTGTTTACTTCTTTATCAATGTTTGATTTTAAACCCGATGAAGCAAAATTTGATTACAAATATTTGAATAAAACTGTGTTAGAACTTCATTAAATGAAGATGTTTAGCAACAAATCAGTACGGTGTATATACCTGGTTTTGATTTTTGCTCTGTATGCAACGTAAATTTATTCGCAATCGATGTTTTTTTCGGAAGTTAAAACATCTTTTTGGCAACTTGTTTCGATATCCGGATGATGCACAATTTTGAATTTTACAGGTACTGCTCCACTAGAAACGCCGTCACGTTTCTCGTGGAAGGAATAAATTCGGTGATAATACTCTTTTGGTGATGTCACCATCATTATTACAATTAATGAGGATAAAAACCTATAGATGTAAATTCTGGTCACTGAATAAAAGAAGCTTTATTATTGGGAATTATACGAGAATAACCTCTCTTTGATCACAATACTAACAATTTGAAAAATGTTCAACTTTTTGAAATATATCTTAGCTTAAAACGTTAAAATATCAGCTATTAGAACAAATAAGGAATTACAAACCATTTTCATATAATGAAATTTTCTTTGTCCATCTATAAACTGACCGATGTCTATATTTACTTATGTTATCTGCCTCATTGACATATATACTTCTGTTCGTTATTTTAAAGACTGTTGTTCCATCATTTGCAGTTTCGCAGGGAATAGTTGTCAATATTAATTTAGGACTATATAAAACCTCCCAATCTTTCGATGGGAACGGGTGGGTCAAAGTGGACTTTAATTCCTAATTGTGAACTTTTCATTTCTATGTATCAACATTTCCGCAGAGACTGCATGTAGAGTTAATATCTCCAAGTTGAGGACTATGCCAGAGCATGGGCTAAACGAGAAGAAGTTCAACTGGACACTTTGTCAGAATTGGTCAAAACAATCAGGTCTCTGATGATAAAACGTCGCATTCATAAGTTGAAAAACTGTGTGAATGATCGACCAAAGTCCGTTTTCAGAGACAAAGAGGCTGTGAAATGTCTATCATCTCTTCAAGATAAGTGTGTTGTTTTCCTGCGGACAAAGCTTCAAATAGTATTGTCTTTATATGTAAATCGTTTTACTACGAGTGTCTTGTAAAAGAATTAGGAATAAATGAGCACTCAGGTAATCCCACATACAAAAACATATCATTTGACATGGATGAGATTTTGGCGAATCATAAGTCCTTCATGGCTTCAATGAACATTGCATTGAACAACAAATCGGAGGACTTACCTTGTTTGTATTCGATACATAAACTTCACAAAATTCCGTACAAACAACGTTACATTGCCGGCTCATCTGCATGTTCCACTAAAGAATTGTCCATTAGATTGACTAAAATTCTGTCCGCAGTGAAAGCGGGTCTTCAGAAATACTGTGAAACTGTTTACTCGCGTAGTGGTATTACTCATAAGTAAATTCTTAAAGACTCTAAAGAACTTCTGGATAATTTTAAATCTCGGTCTTTTTCTGAAATTAGTTCTATCAAAACTTTTGATTTTTCAACCTTGTATACCACCATTCCCCATGTGAAACTGAAAAACCGTCTAAAAGAAATAATCCACAATGCTTTTCATCATAAAAATGGTAGCATACGCTATAAAATTATTACTTTGGGATACAATAAGGCATATTTTGTTAATAGTGAACAAAAGGGTAAAACATGCTACACAGAGGAACAAGTAATCAGTATGCTGGAGTTTCTTATTGACAACATATTTGTTGATTTTGGAGGTAGACTTTTTCAACAAATTGTCTGCATTCATATGGGAACGAACTGTGCGCCTCTCCTTGCCGACCTCTTCTTTTTTTATATGAATCGGAGTTCCTTCAGACACTTGTCAAAAACAAGAAGATCAAAGAAGCCAGGTTATTTAATTTCACATTCAGATATATTGATGATGTTCTTTCCATTAACAATCCGAACTTTTCTGATTGGGTTCCATTAATATATCCACCAGAACTAGAAATTAAAGAAACAACAGACACGGCTCCCTCCGCCTCATTTTTAGACTTTTTGACATACACAGTCATCTCAGTACCAGAATCAATGACAAACGAGACGATTTTAATTTTGAAATTATCAATTTGCCCCACCATAGTAGCAATATACCAACTTCACCTGCATATGGGATATACATTTCCCAACTTATTCGGTATTCAAGAGCTTGCAGCTCCTACTCAGATTTTGTAAAACGTCACCAGTGTCTGGGCAGAAAGTTGATGAACCAAGGGTATGTCAAAGAACGTCTCGTCCTTTTTCTAAAAAATGTTCATCGGAAGGTACCAAGAACTTTTTGATAAATATTCCGTATCAACTTCACAAATAATACACGATGGTCTTGAAGTATAGATCTTGCGTACTGACGTTGTATATCATCTTAATAACGTGTTATAGTATTCTTTTATTTGTCTTTATTAATATCACCTTTACTGTTAAGTCTATTTTTTGAGATATCCATTTGACGTGACTCTGTGCTTTTGTATCCCGTCATACTTTGAACGACAAGATTATTTTATTTATTAATATTACTTTTACTGTTAAGTCTGTTTTTTGTGATATACATTTGACGTGACTCTGTACTTATGTATCCCGTCATACTTTGAACCACACAATTATTTTATTTATTAATATTACTTTTACTGTTAAGTCTGTTTTTTGTGATATCCATTTTACGTGACTCTGTATTTATGTATCCCGTCATACTTTGAACGACAAAATTATCTTATGTCTACCTGTGCGAATTTCAAACGCGTGATTTTACACCAGTACTTAAAACCTTCTATCCTTTATGGGTGGATTTTACATAGATAAATAAAATCATATAATATAAGCAAAATGAGGATGTTAAATTTGATGTATGCCTTTTTGTGCTTCTTCGCTACATTTGTTTGTTTTCATAGTGATTAAGATGATAACACAATGTTGACTGCTGAACCCTATTTTGGACATTTTTACCTATTGTGTCTGTTTGTTTTGTTCACGCATCGTTGTCAATATAATGGAATTTGATGCGTCTTCCATACAAGTGAGAGCTTTAGCTAGCTATAAAACCAGGTTCAATCCACAATTTTCTACATAAGAAAATGCCTGTACCAAGTCAGGAATATGACAGTTGTTATTCATTCGTTTGATGTGTCTGAACTTTTGATTTTGCAATTTGATTGGGGACTTTCCTTTTTGAATTTCCTCGGAGTTCAGTATTTTTGTGATTTTACTTTTTGATACGACATTACAGCGCTTGTATTGTCTATCATGAATTAATTGAAAGAAGGTTGCTGCTTCTAAGAAAGCAATTGAACCAAAGGTTGCAAGTAGTAAAATTATTTGATGTCATCCCTTCAAAATTTAACTTTTATTGACGCCATTATGAGTTGGCTGACCGTTATAAAATATCTTTTATACAGATTACCACGAATAAGTTCCGATTGTCGTATCCACAATTACGTTCTCTTTTCCACGATTATAATATCACCGAATACGTTTTATCACCGAATTTGCACTCACCATGATAAACAAGACCGGTGCCACTAGTAGAGCAGTAACTGTACGTTTTTTGGTGTGATAAGTGTAGAACAGTATTATGTTTTCAATGTAGTGTATCGTGGACTATGTTTTAGTCGTCGTTTTGCCATGGCGTTGTCAGTTTCTCTAAGATTTATGAATTTCGAATGTCCATTTGGTATCTTCATACTCCTATTTAGACATATCTTGAATTCTATATAAGATTTGACCGTATTGAATGTTATTTTTTATGGCGACTCTGCTAAATTATTGTGTATGTTTTTTTTTTAGTTTTTTTTTTTTTGTTAGTTGTGTTGTAGTTTGCGATGTATTTTTATATAAATTGGCTACTGGATCCCAATTATTGTCAGATTAACCTATTATATCTGGTTGGGTTGCTCACCCAATTTTGTCAATATCACAAAACTATAAACAACCGTCATACAGATGAGTGGTGTAGCTAGCTATGAAACCAGGTTTGAACCGCCATTTTTTTCGGAAAATGTCTGTACGAAGACAAGAATATGACAGTTGTTTTTCACTTGTTCCTTTGATTGATAGCGTTTGATTTTGTCAGTTTTTATGATATTCTCCTTTTTTGAATTTGTCTTGGAGTTCGCTGTTTTTGTTATACTTTTTTCATACGCTGTGTATATGCATAGAATTTAGAAAGATAAACAGAATTTGAATCACTAGAAAATTGTGTTCTCTCTTAATTGTTATCTTCTTGAATTGTATCAGATAAGTTATCATAACAACATGTTTGCAAAACGGATTAATGTTACCTTTTAGCAATTCGATGAAATGAAACGTGAATATTTTTAATTTATTTTCTAATTCTGTATTTATCCTTCATTAAAATAGTATGGTTTGATAAACCCAGACATTTAATAGTGGTAACTCGATTAAAATATATTTCCTTTTTTATCGTGAGTGTTTATGTTTATTATTAACGCTTTATGTAGTACTGAATATTCTTCATACACTTGTCATTTTGATAAAGGCTTGACGAAGATGCAGGTTATTTTTAATTTATTTTGCAATTCAGGTTTTTCAATTGCACTTATCGTAGTTACTATAACATTGTTTCTGCTAAAATCACGCCGCCCACATGGCTCGCCACCAGGACCTAGAATGTTGCCAGTTTTGGGAAATTTAACAATTCTGTTGCAGGGTAATTTAATTGAAATTAGTGAGAAGCTGAAGACTACATATGGAAATATATTTAGTTTATCCCTTGGAGGAAAATGGGTTGTATTTATAAATGGAAATGAACATCTCCGTGAAGTTTTTGTAAAACATGCTGAATTCTTTTCTGACAGGCCAAACGTTTTCTTCATTAATAAGATTCTAGAGAGTAAAGGTAAGCATATTTTACTTTTCTAATTGCATTTAAATGTTAAAGATTGAACTTTGAAGTCCGCGTCTCACATCGATTTTTTTAACCTCTAATTATAACGAGATTGATAAGGTTGACTGTACTGGTAGGAACAGTTATATTGTCATTGACAATTCATATATTCAATATTAATACTAACTTTAAGGAAATACATATTTGTGGACTAGTTCTGAAGTTCAATTTTGCCTTGAGTAATAGTTCCATCTGAGTTTATTTCTTTCATAATTTCCCTGTTTACGTAAACTGTCAATTGCTTGGGCTATTAGTATGAATTAAGCACATTTTAAACTTTTGTAAAATACGGGCAGCAAACATGCCGACTGGAATAATTTCAAAAGATTATCAAATGCAAATGTTGCCTTTGTGGTGTTGAAATAACAATCTTTTATGGTACTAAAACATGCAAAACAATCATCAAGTGCAACCTAGTGTCTGTCAAATTTAAGAAATAGTCAATAATCGAAACTTTTGTACAGTCAATCAGTACGATGAATACGAACATGAATAAGAATATCATTTAATGCAAAATGTCTGTTGAAGATGACTTTGAAATCCGATACTTGAGAAAAAATTCGCATCTACTTAACTCATCAAACTAAACATTGCAATTGACTCATCAGTTTCAGTAGACCACATTGACCAAGTAATGCCCCATGACAAAGTGAAGACATACATCATCCTAAGATGAGCCGCATACAACCACTCACTAGGCATTTTTGATGAACACTGTCGATGTTTCTACAGTGATCGACAGTTCAGAGGCTATTTGCATATTGTAATTTTTTTATTATATATATCTTATTGTGTAATCAAAATCTTGTTTTTCTCAGTTGCTTAAGGCTACATTATTTGAAAATCTGAGCAATGTTTAAAAGGAAACTTACCAACGAGAACTGTTTTAACATGAAAAATCCGCGTATTCACGTTTTTGCGAGTGTTTGAACGGAGTTTATTCGGGATCTGACTTAAAACATCATTTCTAATATCAGTGCCTTCTCATCATTTTAGATAGATGCATAATGGCATCGGATGAAATTAGTCTCTGAATTAACGCCACTGGGACCGTGAACAGAGCAGAAATCATTTCTATATGTCAAGACTTCACATTATACATAGCATAACACGGTCTAAATTGTCAAAGCCCTGTTGCTCTAAGATCGATAAAAGATTCAATGTGTTATGTATATTATAGTGTATCAAAAAGTCAAATAACAAAAATACCGAACTCCACACAAAATTCAAAACGAAAAGACCTTTATCAAATGTCAAAATCAAAGCTCAAACAAATCAAACGAATGGAAAAGGATATGCTAAGCCTAACACTGCAAACATAGCAACTTCAGCGCTGCAGATACAAAGCTTAGGTTTCCAATTTACAATCTCTAAAGTTAAAAATTTAGAATGTATGTTGAACATCCAGAATGCTGAAATTATAACTTCAATGTCATTGATGTTAACTCCAGTGCTTAAGAAGTTTAATTGAGCGATCAAGGTGACAGCGGGATTGCAGCGGGTGTCTCTTCTAGTACAACGTAATTGCTTGGCCACTATTGGTCCCAAACAGTCAATTTGTACCTTCAATTCCCAAAATAAATACGATTTGTACAACTGAATTGTTATTGAAGAGTTACATATTCTAATCATCTCTTTTTCTAAACGAATAGCTGTAACTTTTTAAATAAGTAACATATTTGGATAATGTTGGTTTCAAATAAAAGCTTTAGATTTTGGATCTCTTTAGAATACTTGATAAACCCTCAGCCGGGAATGTTACATTACATACCCTGTCTGAAACCTGAATTACACATGTGTTTTGAGTTACCCCTGCCTTAGTGTTTTTTCGAGTACTAGGTATTTGTTAAACATTCACCTTGCAGTATATATATTCAGTATATGTTTATTATTTCTTAATATTTTGAGTAATTCTTTTAAATGAAAATCTTTCATCTTGACAAATATTTTTATTTCGTAAAGAATTGTTTTTAATAAAGTTGACTAAGCTTTGTTAGTCGAAGACAGATTTCATGTATACTGTTTGTGTGTGTGTGTGTCTTTTTATGTATTATGACTTTTTTGACCAAAAAAAATGAAAAACCCAACATGATATTGTCCGCATACGTGAAGGACTTTGTAATTTGCTGTGAAAATAATTCCATCGCGTATGCAAGAATTAGTTATAAGACATTAAGACATTGATTAAGTATTTGGTGTAAATCGCGTGATTTTAAATTAAAAAAATTATTGACGGATACACGTCATTATGTTCCCTCTGTGAGCCCCTGAAATTCTTTAAGTGTTCTGTATAGCTTAAGACTACGTCGAAAAGTAAAGTTCGTTATGATGACGTTGTTGAGGTTCCAACTTGGGTAAAAACGTCGTAGATGCCCCGGCAGTTTCCTGAATATATACTGACATTTCTGTGTTGTTATCCAATCACAAAACTCGACATATATATATATAAGAAAGTCTAAATTGAAAACAACGTTCAATCCTATGATTGCGTTAGATAAAAACCGCAATTTTTATACGTGTGCATGCAAAACAAATTTCTTGGTAGAGGGGTCTAAATACAGCACAAACAACATTTTCCAAAAGACCAAAAAAGTGAAAAAGTATATTTAAACAAAACGCATTTGACGTACAGGTCTAACAACGGATGTTCTTAAACCCTGCTGACTGCCATTGGTGATTGCCAAATAAACGGATCACCGATGTAATAAATGGATCTTAATTATAAATTTAATACTGAACAGAAAACAATAAACTTGCGGTAAAGATGGTATACCGCAAACATGAGGTGCAAAATTTGTACACCATATCCGGATTACGACAATTAATGTCTCTTCGGTGATGTTAGGAATCAAAACGGTATTTGGAAGGCCATATAATTTACCTCAATTAGGATAGACTCTGAATATATATATATATATACACGTCTATATATTAGTCAACGATCTTTCTTACGAGTGCGCTGGATCAATACGAGTAACGATACATGTACACAATAGATAAATTATATAAACGCCTAAAAAGTAGACAAAACACCACTAATATTAAAAAAAGGAAACAACAAATGTAAGTATCTATAAATATTTCGGATAACAGATATCCTTCATCAGTATGATTATGATGTAAAATGAATCATGTCAATCTATTTTGATTTAACTATAACAATCTTGAAATTTATACAATTAAAACTGAACACAACGCTTGTACAGTCGTTTGATGATGTAAATTTCCCACTATTACCATACACCATTACACCATTCACCATACACCATAACACCATACACCATGTGCCATGACATGATGTACATTGAATATATTATCTTTCAGGTGTAACGGCACAAAATGGCCATGCGTGGAAGACTCACAGAACATTTATGGTTACAGCTTTACGAAAGTTAGGATTTGGGAAAAAAAGTATGGAATCAAAGGTTTTAGAAGAATCTCAACATTTTCTAAGCGTGCTTAGTGATTCAAATGGAGATCCAATCAACGTTGCTGATCCGATTTACGTAGCAGTCTCAAATATTATTTGTTCCGTTGCTTTAGGTAGAAGATTTGATTACAAAGACGCGGAATTTAAAAAGTTGATAAACGTGGTTAACGAGTTATTATCCAATCAGAACATTCCTGCTATCAATCTACTTCCCATTCTTCAATATCTTCCAGGCGATATATTTGGGGCAAAGCGCATTTTACAACAAACTCGTATGTTAAAAAAAGAGTTTAAACGATATATAGCTGAGCATAGAGATACCATTGACCCTGGGAACAGTAGGGACTTCATAGATGAATATATCATAGAACAGAAAAGAAATGCAGGTTTGACAGGTAACACAATTAGCTCAAATAAAAACTTGATAACATAAATATGCACACATTGATTTTGGTAATCGTAAAACAATATAAAAATGACTGAACGTTGCCAAAAACATTATGTTTGGAGCATCATCATATAAATAATACAACCCATTGAGTTACCATACTAATGATATTTCATATGTTTCATCGTTGGTAGTGTATCAATAGATTGTCTTGCCATTGAATTCAACCCCATAACATCGGTCATTAATGAAATATCTCTAAAATTAAGACGATAGAAATTTACCGATGTTCAAATCTCGTATATCGATTAGGAAAAGTCAAATCAAGGTAATAACAGAAATTCAGGGAATCACATGAACTCTAAAAGGAGCGAGACCGGAATCTGTCGACATTGTAAACGTTTCCTGCTTAAACCATAGCTATGATGATGCTAATGGTGGTACGGTTGCAATCCGCCATCTATGATTTAAAACAAAAACAGAACACAATAGGTCTAGACTTTTAATTAAGTCAACAAATTTAATGCAGAAAGGCAAATTACTAATAAGGATTTTCTTTGAAACGATCATCATTAGATCTTAAGTTATAAACACTCTTATTTTTACATATTAGTAGAATATTATCGCTTGTATTCAATTTTTTACAACGTTGCCCATTAACGGTAGATAACTCAGAAAAGATATACATTTTTTTTGTAATTCATAAGGGAATCTTCATGAAATGTTTCTACTTTATGTTATAGCTGGAAAACACGTACGGTGACCCCATATTTTCTTTTGAGATGCTGAAAGCAAGCTATGAGAGCTATCTTCTCATATTTTATTTCAATATTATATCATTTAGTTTACCTTCTGTTAACATTATGATGATTTGTCTCTGTATACTCTATTCAAAATGTATTTTTTTAAGTTTGTAGCTTGAAAATAAGCTCAGTGACCTTTCTGTTCTGTTTTTACTCCCATTCTACCTTAAACAGCTTTGCACAATATCCTAAATCAAGGAATGAAGATTTTCTCTTTAGTTTTAGTATAGGTGTGAATAGAAAAAGGACATTAAGTGTATGTTCATGATAAAACAGTACAATCTCAGTTTTTATTTCACTTTTGAATTAAAACGACAATAGTTGACCGATGTTCAAATTTTGCAAATTGATTATTAAGACATAATTCAGGGTAACTAATATAAAAAAAGAAATACATCAACTCAGATTTTTGACATTTTTACCTACTATGTCTGTTTATTTTTCTTACACATTGTTGTCAATATAATGGAATTCTATGTGACTGTCATACACGTGAGAGGTTTAGCTAGCTATAACACTAGTTTTTTAGATTTTGTCATTTTATTAAGGACTTTCCGTTTTGAATTTCCCTTGGAGTTCGGTATTATTTGTTATTTTACTTTTTTTCGATAATAACAAGATGTCAATGTGTATGTTGGAATCAGGACTCAAACGGAAAAGTTAACAAAATGCTATAGTATTTTCTTGTTAATTTACTTTTCAAACGTCAAGGATATTTTAGAAGCTATTTTCACTGTAATAGTATAAATATTATATAAGGAAATGAAAAGGACACATTCTAAATTTGGTGCGTATGAAGCTTCTTTCTTTACAAAACTTCATTAGTTATTGTCAAATCTTCATTTATTTTTTTTATAGATTTGAAATAAAGAGACCTTAGGTGTCGGAGATGCATGAATAATTGAGACATATATAGTAAAAAAGATGCCTCCATAGAAATCAGAATACAATTACCCTTTATCTTTTGTAGATGATGATTTCCCAACAGCTGTGTTTGAGTTGTTTGCTGCGGGCACAGATTCTGTATCAAACACAATAACATGGTCAGTATTATATCTTTTGAAAAACCCGGATATTCAAAATCGGATGAGAGACGAGTTGCTTTGTGCCATTCCTACTGATAGACTGCCAACAATGGGGGATAAGCTAAATTTACCCTTCTGTGAAGCTGTAATTGCTGAAACACAGAGAGTTGCAAATATTTTTCCTTTTGCACTTCCACACGCAGCTACAGAAGACGTGATGATTGGCCAATTCAAAATTTTTAAAGGATCTTACGTTATACCAAATTTGTCTTCAGTAGTACATGATGAAGATCTATTTGCAGACCATCTTAAATTTGACCCGTTGCGATTTATAGACAAAAAAGGAAAGTTTTACGGTCAGGAAAGATTTATTCCATTTTCACTTGGTAATTGTATATAATTATGATAATACTAGTTTTCTATTCAGTGTGTATTGCATTTTCTGGTCTTGAGTGGCCACATCTTAAAAGAGAGAAGAGTCAGGATTTTTTATCATCTTTAATATTTAAAAAGAAGAATTAATACATATCATTATAAACTGTATTCCACAAATCGCATTAGTCAATTAACATATTTTGAAAAACTTGTTAATAATAAGTCAGTAGATCGCTTTCTTGCGTCTTCTAGTGCTAATCATTTAAGTCATAAAAGAGGAAACCAAGTAATTAGCTAAAATTTCTTTATGGGTAACTTTATGATTTGTGACAAATACATTTACCTTTGAAGGAAAGACTTTTATTACAATACCTTCGTGTGTACCTTCAACTCGACATGCAGACAACGACTTGATTGACTATATTTATAATTGATCAATAGAGACTAAGCAGCAATATACAAATATATATGAAAATTGAAGTAGAATCCGTTAAATACCAGTCTTCGCAAACAAGTTTTTCATCGCGAACACAAATAATTAAATTTTTTTATGAATAGTTCATAAATTAGGTGTGAACGTAAAGTTGAAAACAAATTTTTTATAATGTCTCGACAGAAACAAATTATTTCCAGCGAATGAATGATAAGTCTTTTTTATAGATACTGATAAACACGCATTGTACATTTAAACCACCAATTCAACTTATCAGACATGGGGTTATTGAAATATGTAATTGTAATTGACTGTAATTAATTAAAATTTCACAAGTACTTGAATGTAATCTGTAATTGAGCATTTTTTTCAATTAAAAGTGATTGAAAGTAATGAATTACATAGCCTTAATTGTCTGTAATTGACAATTACAACTCAATTAGATTTGAAATTTTGAATCAGAAAGATTGAATCTTGTGTTTTCTCATAAAATGATGAAAAGCCATGACCTCAGTTAATGTAGTTAGCTGACAAAGAAAAGCCTACACATTATACTTTCTGTAAAAACACAACCATAAGAGATTCTTTATTGTATATTGAATGAACAAAAAAGAAAAAAAAGAAAAGAAAGATTGTAGAAACATGCCATAATTTGTGTTTATAAACGAAACCATTAGTAAGTCACTGTCGTATATCTTAAATAGCTTGTTATATGAATATTCAAATAGATATTGTTAGAGATTGGTTTAACATAATCAATTTTAAAGGACATAGTTAATCAATTAATATAACCTCTGGCTATTTGTGTTATTATAAACTATGTAATGACTGTTTTTACAACAGGTATGTTTGATGTTAAACAGGTGTTAAGCCCATTAGAGAGAGAAAAATAAAATTTAAATGCCTTTTTTTAAAACAATTAATTGTGACTAAAACAAAGGTATATTTTTTAAAAAGTCTGGCTTTCTAAATCATTTCTTTATGAAAAAAAAATTTAATATGTTGTGATCAAAATAAAAAATAATTTCAAAATATTAAAATTAGGGCTCTCTTTTTGTATCACTTTCAATGAAATACATTAAAATATAAAGTTTCAATAGGTAAATAAAACAAAATTTCAATATTTTAAAAATATTGAGTAAGGCTTTTTATCATTTTGAGCATTTAATTAAAACAGACCTCTTATCCTAAGGATTCCTGATAGACAAAGTGTTATGTGCACTTCAGATTTATATATGTTTTTTTCTTTATTCCCGTTACACACCAGATATCTTACTTTTTATTCTTCTTTGACTCTGATTGAAATTGAAAATAGTGGCTTTAATCTCACTTGTTATTACTATAAAACAATGTATGATACTTTGTGTACATATCATAGAATAAATGCATGTTTTTAATATTTTATCTAATTTTTCCTATCACAATTAATTGAAGTAATTAATTACATTTGCCAAGTAATTGGAAAGTAATTAATTACATTGGTAAAAAAAATCAAATGTAATGTGTAATTTAACTGAAGATTTTCTAATTGTAATTGAATGTATTTAATTACTTTCAAAAGTAATTGACCCCATGTCTGCAACTTATAAGCAGTGTGTAACCATGATTTTAACTTTTGAAACGTTTGTATTCAAAAGGAAAAAAAATCTAAAATATCAAACATAGTATAGTCGGTTATCATCGAAATTATATGGTTGTCTCCCCTAATTGTATTTCTCTCTCATGTGCATGCACTTACTTTTCAATGTCCTATAATGCAGTATTTCCTATTATTTTATAGTCATCAAAACAATCGTTGTAAGAAATGTTAAACCGGCAACGGTCTGTGATTGGTGAATAAAGAATTTCTATTTCCATTTCTATGAAACGTAAATACGGTGATGAAAAAGGTAAAATAAAAAAAATGTTCATTGTGTCATTTAGACATAGCATCCTTTTCAGCCAATCAATAGTCGAAAGTCAGTATCATACAATAAAATTTCTGATTATTTCTTAAAAACATTTTGTTTGTATGCGCGAGAAAACTGGTCTGTCGACAATGTCGGCTACATTTATTGATTTACAAATGTTTTTACAAACTTATTTACATATCATGTTTAAAAAGGGTAAACTGTATTCAACAAATCGCATTTGTCAATTAACATATTTAATTAATAATAAGTCAGTAGATCGCTTTCTTGTGTCGTCTACTGCTAATCATTGTTCACTGTTTTCTGTAGGAAAACGATCGTGTCTGGGTGAATCCCTCGCCAGAATGGAATTGTTTCTTTTCATCACTGCAATGGTGAAGAAGTTTCATATTCTACCAGAGGAAGAAGGTACATTCCCATCATCACAGGGACAGTTAGGAATTGCATATGTACCAAATCCGTTTAAAGTTCGTTTTGTTGAGAGGAATTAAAGAAAATCATAAAATTCAACTTAAATTATTAATTCATAAACAGACAGCTTATTCAATATATTTTTTTGTAAATGTATCTATATGTGTACATTAGAATATAAATATTATTCAGATACTTAAACAGCAAACAATCTATATTTTCATTTCAACATATGGTCATTCTGAACATTGCTTGTACATGCAGCTTGAACAAACTTCTAGATCAAGCAATTGTCACTCACATGTACTCAGGTTAACAATAGAAATTACGAAATCATACTTTGATCAAACAAATGACTGTTTGTTACACTTTAAGTTTTCTTCATATCGAACAGTTATTGGCCACTGCAATTATAAAAAACAGTTCAATGCAATTATTTTTAACTTTGAAATATATTGAACTGAAAAATTAAATTATTTTCTTACATTCAATGTCGTGGATTATTCTCAATGCGTTTATTGGCATATCATAGTCTTTATCAGTCGCAAAAAGCATAAATGTAGGTCTACATGTGTAAATTACAGTTACATAGATTCAAGGTATCCGTCAGTCCTGTTTCTTGTCATCAACTCCTCTCAAACCACACAACAGAATTTCACGAAACCTTTTTAGATAATAAGGACATACTATGTAGTTGTGCACATCGACAGGAAATTACGATTCAATTTTTTTCTAGGATTTACGCCCCTTTGAACTTATTTACTTTAATGTACTACTGCAACAGTTTGTCATCTCAACTCCTCTGAAACCACACAACAAAATTTCATGAATCTTTGTAGATAATAAGGACATACTACGAAGATGTGCATATCGACAGGAAATTACGATTCGATTTTTTTCCAGGAGTTACGCCCCTTTTAACTTATTTGCCCAATATACTACTACAACCTTTTGTCATCGCAACTCCTCTCAAACCACACAACACAATTTCATGAAACCTTTTCAGATAATAAGGACATACTACGTAGATGTGCATATCGACAGGAAATTATGATTCAATTTTTTTTCTAGGAGTTACGCCCCTTTGAAATTATTTGCTTTAATATACCTCTGCAACAGTTTGTCATCGCAACTCCTCTGAAACCACACAACAGAATTTCATGAAACTTTGTAGATAATAAGGACATACTATGTAGATGTGCATATCGACAGGAAATTATGATTCAATTTTTTTTCTTATACAATTTTTTTTTCTTACAGTTATTTTTATTTCTCCAGTGACAATGTGGGGACGTGGGGTATGTGAGTGCGCTCACTAAGGTTCTTTAATTTTAATTAACCAATTACTTATAAGTTACTGTAAAAGAGGGACGAAAGATACCAGAGGGACAGTCAAACTCAAAGATCGAAAACAAACTGACAACGCCATGGTCAAAAATAAAAAGACAAACAGACAAATAATAGTACAGATGAAACAACAAAGAAAACTAAAGACTAAGCAACACGAACCCTACCAAAAACTGGGGGTGATCTCAGGTGCTCCGGAAGGGTAAGCAGATCCTGCTCCACATGTGAAACCCGTCGTGTTGCTTATGTTATTACAAATCCGGTAAATAGTTTAATTCGGTAGGTCACATTCATGAAAAAGGAAGGGTATTGTAGTTACGACATAAGAAACATATCCGATATCATCTGTGAAACGGTTATTCCATAACGGTCAACCAACTCGTGATGGCGTCCGTAAAATCTACGAAGGGATGATTTCAACTTCACCATTTGGAACTCTTGGTTTAATAGCTTCCTTGTGAGCAGCAATCCTCTATCAAGAAAATCTTGATATGAAATACAAGCCCGGGAATATCGTATCAATTGGGAGATATATACTCCGTATGCAGGCGCTGCTGGAATGTTGCTACATGGAAATAGAAAGTTCACAATTGGGAAGCTGAAATCATCCCTTTTGTAGTAAAGTTTTGTTTTCAACCGACCCTCATTGTCAATTTCTAGATGTAAGTCAAGATATGAGGCAGACTTAACTGTATCTGTAGTATCCTTTATCTCTAGTTCGATGGGATAGATTCGTTCAACATAGTCAACAAATTTTGTATTATTTAGTGAGAGAACATCATCTATATAGCGGAACGTAAAGTTAAAGGATATTGATAACTTCTTATCTTTCTTCCTGGAAGTCAGCCTCATAATAATAAAGAAACAAGTCGGCAAGAAGAGGGCCACAATTGGTTCCCATTGGAATTCCGACAGCCTGTTGAAAAATATGTCCTCACATCGTAACAAATATATTGTCAATCAAGAAATCAAGCATCTTGATAATATAAAAAAAAAGATGTGGTATGATTGGCAGTGAGACAACTCTCCACAAGAGACCAAATGACATAGAAATTAACAACTATAGGTCACCGTACGGCCTTCAACAATGAACAAATATGTAACATATAAACAAACGACAACCACTGAATTACAGGCTCCTGACTTTGGACAGGCACATACATACAGAATGTGGCGGGGTTAAGCATGTTAGCGGGATCCCAACCCTCCCCCTAACCTGTGTCAGTGATGTAACAGTACAACAAAAGAACGAACTATTAAAATCAGTTGAAAGAAGCTTAACTCATCAGATGGATAAAAATACAAATACTACAAATACAAGTGGTCGTGGGTGGCCGGATACTTCCAAACAACAAAAAGACACTAAGTACAGATCTGAGAGTACTTGCAGTTACTGACAGCTAGTTAAAAGCCACTAACAACTAATAAAAAAAATCATGCATCTAAGACTAAATTGTCAATCCGTACACATCCAACATCCAATGGATTTAGTGTAAATACGTCATAAACAGTCAGAGAAAAACATAACATTGTGCAATGCCAAGATACAGGTAAATACAGATTGTAGATCCATGAATATGTATATGTATATAACAATAATATTTTGTTTGCTTTTAATTTACTGATAACAAAATAAATATTAGTACCAATACAAAACAATATTTAATGATCTAATTACAGTGTTGAACTGGTAACCTTTTAGTATAAGTTTATTTAAAGGATCGATAATTTTACCAGGATCGTTTCTTAATTTCCAGGCACGGTAAACAATATTGCAGTAAAAATGAGGATGTGCAATCCCGTTTGAAATACAACCAAACTTCAAAACCAAATATTTATATCTGTGGAAGAATTTAGTAAAGGTTTTAAGTAATTTGTGGTAACGATCTCCCTGGCTTTATAATTTACCAGTAATATATAGATTACGTTCGTTAAAATCAAAAACGTCACAACAGACACGGGCATAGCGAACGAGTTGTGAAATATAAACACCGTAAGATGGTGCCAAAGGAACATCACCATCCAAAAAGGGAAAACTAACAATAGGGAACGAAAAATCGTCCCTTTTGTCGTAAATGTTAGTGTGGGGTTTCCCGTGTAAAACCGAACTATCTAAATCTAGGAAAGGACAGTTGTTACCGTTTAAGTTTGGATTTATTTAAAGTAAAATTGAGAATGGAAATGGGGAATGTGTCAAAGAGACAACAACCCGACCATAGAGCAGACAACAGCCGAAGGCCACCAATGGGTCTTCAATGTAGCGAGAAACTCCCGCACCAGGAGGCGTCCTTCAGCTGGCCCCTAAACAAATATGTATACTAGTTCAGTGATAATGGACGTCATACTAAACTCCAAATTATACAAAAGAAAATAAAATTAAAAAGTTTCTTTGGATAAATTTCGGCAATATATTGAGAAATCTCTTGATTATTTAACGATTATAAAAATATCATCAAGATAACGGTAAGTGTTGTTGAATTTATCAATTAAATACAATTTAGACGGGTCTTTACTGAGTTTGGTCATAAACTGTGATTCATAACAGTACAAAAACAAGTCTGCTATTAAAGGGGCGCAATTAGTGCACATAGGAATACCTACAACCTGTCGATAAACTTTTGTGCCGAAACGTACATAGATATTATCAAGGAAAAAATTAACAGCTTCAATCATCTCTTCACACCTCCAGTAAGTATATCTAGCATATTTACCTTTCTCATTAGAGAAGAAAGCTTTAAATGAGTTGCAGCAAATATATTTGCATTCAGATTTAACAAACGACCATTTATTAAATAGTCAAATTTTTGTTTGATAAGATTGTGTGGAAGTGTAGTGTAAAGAGTAGAAAAGTCAAAACTGTCAACAGAATCAAAAGGACAATCAAAAGCACGTAATTTATCTAAAACATCCAAAGAACTTTTTACACTCCAAAAATAGTTAATTCCACTATTTTCATATATTTTATTACAATAGTTTATGATAAGCTCTTGGATAGTAGTTAAGGAACCTGTTTAAAGCACTGACAGATTAGTTGTAGAACACTTACTAGAGGCCAAGATGAAACGATACTTAACTGGTTTTTTGTGTAGTTTAGGTAACCAATACATAGTAGGGACCTTCAAATGTTCAGAAGAAGCCTTAAGCTGTGATGTGGCTATGATATGTTTGTTAAATATATGACTCTCTGTAGGGCGCATGGACTTGAATGTAGATGAATTTAAAATTTCATTCTTAAGAACGTCCGTGTAGTATTTACGGCATACCACCACCACATTGTTGGCTGCTTTGTCGACCGGTACAAACACAAACCGCTTTGAAATTTCTTGAAGTTTATAACTTATTCTGGAAATAGACGTATTATGTACTCTATTATATACTTCTAAATTATTTTCAAAATGTGATATTCTATTATCTACCACATTCATAGATATAGGAAGATGTGGTATGAGTGCCAATGAGACAACTCTCCATCCAAGTTAGAATTTATAAAAGTAAACCATTATAGGTCAAGGTACGGCCTTCAACACGGAGCATTGGCTCACACCGTACAGCAAGCTACAATGGGCCCCAAAAAATTACTAGTGTAAAACCATTCAAACGGAAAAACCAACGGTCTAATCTATATAAAAACGAGAAACGAGAAACACGTATGAACTACATAAACAGACGACAACTACTGTAATCAGATTCCTGACTTAGGACAGGTGCAAACATTTGCAGCGGGATTAAACGTTCCAATGGTAACAAACCTTCTCCCTTCTCTGAAACAAAAGTATAACATCACAACATTGAAAAACACACTATAAGATATTATACATTTATTTAGATAGGAATCAAAAGATTTTTTATAAGATTTTTCCCGTTTACACCATTTTTTACAAAACGAAGAAAGAGCATCTTTGGTGACCTGACGACACTGTTCCCAATCTATTTCAGATGCAGGATGATATTTTGGTCCTTTTTTCAAAAATTTTTTAACCTCTCTGTCCTGGACGATATTGAGGTCCCCCGTAATAACATGGCCATAAGGAACATATCTAAACTTCGACGATTCACAGTTTCAAGTTAAAGGAGTATTATTTTTTACATTGACGTCTGAAGTTACCGGCGTACATATATAATTAAAAATTAAACTACTG